ATTCGATGTGACATGGTGGATTTATCTAGTGACCCTGCTATTGTGCTTATGAGTTGATAGATACCTGCGTGTGAGAAGATATGAAAACTAAAATAGTAGATGTTGGTATGACAAAATACATTGTGCTGCAATCAATCTTGAAGCGTCAGTATTCTACAACTATGCATAGATTATTTTATCTTTAGTTTTGATTAGGGGTATGACAGATCGGCTTTAGTTCTGATCTGATGATCTGTCTGAACAGATCGCCTGATCTGATCTGAACTGTTTGAAAAGATCAGATCAGATCAGATCATGAGATGTGTGCGGATCTAATAGATCAAATAGAGGGAGGGATACAAATATCTTTTCGTTATCTACATACCAGTAGTCCCTATAGCTTTTTAGGGTCTCGTTAGCGGTGGCTTCCAAATCCTGCTACGGTCTACCTAGAGATGAGGGTTGTATCTTAGAAGCACTTACTTAAAAATCGCCCTTATATCCCTGCTACTGAAAGACGACTTATATGCAGAATGAGTTATGTCCGACCGATCGCTAGCGTATTGAACGAATTCAGATGATTCATCAGACAAACCATTTAAAATTTGATCCAAGATAAAGGGGGTCGCGGAAGTCACATCTGTGATTACTTTTTCCAAATTTCGAACTCGAGGGTGTGGGTGTGGTGTGTGGGTGGGTGTGGGGTGGGTGGTGTCTGGGTCCTTCCTTAACTCACACCCTACCTTCAACATACACAAACAAGCCTTCGGAAACTAGAATGAACAGATAGTCGTTCTCTACGAAATGCGCCATGCTAATGTTTCCTTCAACCATTTGAAATTTAGGTATGCTATTTTATTTTATTTTTTTTTTTTGCTGTTTAAGAAAATTATCTGATATAATTTTTCCTTCAGGGAACGATTTTTCTTCATTTTATCATTTTATTTATCTAGAGAAACAAGCGGAACTTTCACAATTTCTACGAACAGGTGCTCATTGAAAATCAATTGCTTTACGTCGTTGGTTTTATCTAATTTCTACAATTTAAGTATGAAGTTTATTTTGTTTTTGTTTGTTTCATATCGAGAAAACTATCTGAAAGATTTGTTTTTAGATGAAATAATTGATCTTCATCTGATCATGCTTTTCCTCTAAATAATCAAGTGGATTTCTAAAAAGTGGTGCAAACAGAGGCTCATTTTTAACCAAATGCTTCACATCAATGTTGTCTCTAAGCGAGTGAAATTTAAGTATGACGGCTCACTTGATTTCGTTTCTTCTATGTCGAGAAAATTATCCGACCGATTATTTTCTATACAAAAAGATTTGGTTTTACATAATCGTTTTCATTATCTAAATAAAAATGAAAAACTTTCAAAATTACTGCGAACAACTGGTGGTTCTCAATAAATTGGTCCATCTCTATCATTTCAACAATCCACTGCAAAGTAAATTACATTTTTTTACCTCATCCTGTTGTGTCATATCGAATAAATTATCGGAACGATTTTTTTCTTGACGAATTGATATATTTCCATTCAATCAGTCTATTTATCTAGGTAAACACGAGTAGTTCTCAGAACTTGTGCGAGCATGTGCTCATTTTGAATCAGCCACTTAGCGTCAATTTTTTTTCGCAATTGAATGAAAGTTAAATATGAATTTTACATATTCAGAAAATAATTTCAGCGACCATTTCGTATATAAAAAGATCTCCTTTTCTATAATCGTTTTTATCTTTCTAGATAAACAAGAGGAACTTTAGAAAATGTTAAGAACATGGACTTATTCTCAATCAATTAGTCCACATCAATGGCTTAATCAGCCACTTAAAGTTACGTATCATTATTCATTTTATTTTTGTTCTTCATATATCCAGAGAATTATGTGAAGGTTTTTTGCATCATTAAAGGTTTTATTTTCATTTAATCGTTCTATTTATTTAGATAAAGAAGCGAACGTATGAAAACTGGTATGCATGTGTGCTCATTACCAAGGAATTACTTCAAGTCAAAGATTTATCCGACCCACTAGAAGTTAAGTATGATGTTTCCCTTCATCTCGTTTCATTCCTATAAAAAGATAAGTGGAAGGTTGTGTTCCTATGTGAAAATATTCCTTCATATATTAATTTTATCTATCGATTCAAAGAAGGTGAACTTTGTAAATCATCATGAAAACATTTACATTCACAATTTATCGACAAACATCAGTGCTTTCTCTGATCGATTTAAGGTGAAGCGTCAGTTCTTTTATGAGATTGTGTTTGGTTCCTAAGAAAATTATAGACAGGCTCGTGTTTCTTTAAAGTGGTGGAATCCTTTTCTGTTTGATACAAATAGATTAGTAAACAAAATTGTGTATAATTTGACCAACTAGTTCTACTTTACAGTTGATGATTACAGAATGATACTACTTGTTTTCGACCAGAATAAGATGATTATATTTTTTTCTAATTGAGTTGGCTGTTTTTAGAGAAGCTATAAGCTATTTCGTAAGGTGCTGACGTTATTTTTTTATGCAAGGCATTGATCAGGGCGAAGGAGAGAAAGAAACAATGAATTGGATGGGCTCTGTGTATTTTTTTTTGATGATAAGTAGCCGTCGTATCAGTGAGGGGAGTGTTTCTACTAAAGTTTTCCAGCGAATGAGCAGTAGCATTATGTAGTTGAAAATAGCATTTCATGTGTAATATTTAAGTTTCGATGAAGGCGCACACCCTTTATATATTCAGACGAGATACTTGATAACTTGAGTGCTTTATAATATGTTATTAATATTCGATTCTTGCTCACTTTTTAATAATTTTTCTTTTAGGTCTTTGGATTTGATCTCTTTTATCAATTAATGAAATTACGATCATGGATTCAATGAAAAGGTTTCGCATATGGGTGAGTGACAGTCACTTTGAACTTTCAGATGCGTTTCACAATGCACGTCAGCGATTGTTATCGATTGGTAGCTGCAATATACTGATTTCTAGTAAGTTTTCAATTTAATCAGAGTTTTTTGAAGAGAAAATCGTCATCTATTAATAACTCATGCTTTTATGTTTAGGTTTCATCAAACAAAGTCTTCAAAGTATATACAGAATGTGCTGAATTACAAATGCTATTTGCTTAATATCTTACGTGAGAATATCGCAAGCGGCCAACGTCAATAGAAGTGAGTAAAGTTTTCGTGTGACATCACAGAGAATTCATCTGAAGTAACCACTTAAAATCATTCATCCAGGTTACTTACTCAGTTTTATGTTAATTTAGCTATCCTGTTTGTATTGATTAGTCGCTGCTAGAAAGATATCCCTACAATTCCTTTTAATCATCTTGCTTTTTATCTCCCGTGGCCATGCTAGATTTTGATTCTCGATCGAATTATCTTCAGGTTTTCTAGTTTGCCTCGTTTCTCACTGAGTGAGTATTGGATTCTAAGACAAGATCAAGTAAGAGTTTCAACAAATATGACGCTCAAAACGTAGAGAAAATAACGGATATGGTTTCTTCCAGTCTCGGAGAGTCTACCATCATCTTGTTAATTTTTATGAAATGCCATAGATAGCGAGCGCTAGATACATATAATTATAAAAAGTACAAATTATTCAGTATATCTCTCTTCGGAGACATTTGTCTATCGTCAACCAAGGTGAAAAAGCAAAGTATTCAGTTATTCTTCGACCCCTGGAAGTAGGACATTGTACTCTTGAATCACTCTATTTATCCTAATATTTTCCCTGAAAACGATACTGGAGGTCCATAATCGGCTTCGTATACCTTCTCAGAAACGCTTGAGACTATTCATGATGTTCATAAACGCTTTTCAATAGCGTTTCTGAGAGAGGCTCATGGATATAGTATTTTAATCAACCCTTTTCAGGGGTTTATGAAAGTGCAACGTGTCGCAATCCCTTTAAGCATTTATGAATCTGATCAACCCTTCAATAAATCTTCCAGAAAAGCATATTTGACGATAGTAAACTCCGTATTAAACCCTTTTTAGAGGGTTTATGACAGGGTTCATGACTCGTTGCTAAACGGTTGAAAAGGGTTTGTTACACGTTGCACTTTCATAAACCCTTTTTTCGTTTATTATTCTACGTTTTTTTTACAGTGTAGCCTATCCAATCAAATGGGTGTGACTGTGTGCATGAAAATCATACTCACACCCCACACTTACACCCGCATCGTCACCCACGCCCTTATTCACGCGTAAAAGAATTATGAACCTGATTAAATAATTGAACTATAAGAGTTAGAAAGAAGTGAACCACTATAATCTTTGATTGCAAACTGAAGGATACGCAAAATCAAGCGTTATTTATTCGTGAATAATTGATAATATAAGAAAGCACAAAGCAACCTCTTGACTAATTATGAAAAACGGCCATTTGCTGATTGTGGTTTGCGCTGTGTGATCGTTGAAAGATCGTCCACGATGGCCAAAGACATAACAGGTTTGTGCCAACCATCTCGACTCTCAATACCATGGAACCCACCCACTACATAACATGTCTTTTTTTCATTCGTATATTCGCTTTCGAACTCAACCGGAGTGACGATTGAATTTAACTTAACTTCTTGGATATTACATGATTTTTTCTGATGAAGTCCATAGCAGAGTCGAAGAAACCATCCTGTGAGCATAGTCCGGCTCCTGCCAGACAAAAGTAAACAGAATACATCGAAAAATATAGAAAAAAAGCAAAGTGCACCAGCACAATGCTGCAATACCAGACTTGATGCTGCCTTTTATAGTTATAGGAAGGCCGGAAGCGCAATGAAGAAAGCGTCCCTTTCTTATTTCGACTTCTTCGACGAAGCATTTAGAATTTATTGACATATTCAAAAGTTTGCAAACTGTAAAATTCAATGACTAGTTCTAGAAATCGAAGTTTAACCCTGAATTAGAAGTTGTTTCTTGTCTAATTTCAGAGTAAGATAAACAATGGTGAATCTTTTATAAATAATTAGTCGAGAATTCGTTTTACGCTATCTCAAAGGTAAACAAATAACAAAATCATCGCAGATAACTTGAAGTTATCAATAAAATTACTGCATTGCTGCAACACAAAGGTTTAAAAATGTGAAACTTCTATTAACGGATTAGTAAATATAATTTCTACGTATATCATACTAATTACACCACTTCTGCCTGATTTCGATTGTCCTCTAGAGGTGGTACGTTTACGTTATTTTAAAATTAACGTTAACTAAAAGCGTTAACCGTTAATATTAACGAATTAGCGGTTAGCGGTTTTAGTTAATTATAACCGTTAACTAACTCGCATTAAATTAAATGGTCCATCCCTATTGTCCACTGTAAGAAAAGACGGCTGCTCTAGCCTTTCTGTAGACAGTTCTTTTGAATTCATAGCAGAATTTTTATTCGTAATGTCACATACTAAGAGAATCAATCATTCAACATTGCATACTGTCTTTTCATAAACGTCTTACAAATATTTCTAAACTCAATGGTTGACAAGAAATCAAGAAAACTTCGAAACTTTTCGAGATCATCACCATTTACCCCGACTCCCTCGGCTTGAATATTGATAATCACTCACCCTGATCCAGCACCAACGTGTTCGACATTAAAGATTTTGTCCCAAAATTTGTTGTCCACATTGCCCTGATAAGTGCTAATGAACTGATTGAACACCGGTAAGAGTCCTTCAACATAGGTCGAAAACTCGTCGTTGTGCATTGTAAAACTTTGTAATTGTTTCGTCTTGTCTCGAAGAAGTAACCAATCATCAAGTGTGCCTAAGAAGTGTAATTTGCGAATGCCACACATCGTCATGACAAGCCCGTAGTCAAAATAATTTTTGAAAGTGTTCATGATTGTAGCACAGGACAACATCAATTCGACCTTGCCAGTAGTCGAATAGTTGGCAGTCAAAAGAGAAACAACGTCGTTCTTGACATTTTCACCTATTTTGATGCGCATGCTCTCAAGAAATGCGTTCCAGCTATAAAAGAAAACAACAGAGGTATGCTCAGATTAAAAAACGAATATCACTGGAATTTCTGTTATCTGCTGAAACAGGTATAATCAAAGAAAAGTATTTTCCACAATTCTGAAAGCTTCATAACTTTTGAAAATTTAAGAAAATATGAAACTTTTAAGAGTAATGGAGATTTCTGTGGTATAAGTTGAAACATTTCTGTATTCCTGTTTTAATTCGATTCAGAACGCTCAAACTTTTAAAAATATCTATCAGTGAGCAGAAAATTTTTAGTGTAATCTGTCTTGTGAACATTAATTGGGCTCTGTGAACAACTAGAAGTGTCTGAAGAGAACACAAAAATAATCAACTGTTTACATATATCAGAAACTTGTATTCATAGAGCAGAACAAAAAAAGTTTCCAACTTGATAATGAATGCACATTGCCACCCGAAGACACATGCATAGCTTACTTACTCAGGTTCACGTTGCATCTGTTCGATGGTTAATTTGACCTTTCCTTCGTGGTTGACAAAGAGGTGTCGCAGCTTCTCAGCATTAGCATTTACGTATTTTGCAAAGTAAATTGCTACCATGAGCCATAGATCACTAGAAGGTTCGAAAAAAAAACACGTAATACTAAGTCATTACATGGACTGATTTCAAAAACTCCATGTCGCTTCTGCATTCTAAAGTAAAAACTTACTCTGGCGAGAGGACGATGTCTTCATGCGAATTATAAGCGCTGAGATAAGCCTGAAACACCGCATGACTATATGCAGATGATGTATCTGAAAATAAAGATTAAAATAGGCGACAAATTAAACGTTCAGTATTTCATTGCAAATGTTCAGTAAAATTTGTTCAGTATTATATACAAATGTTTAGTAAAGAAATCAAATTGCCAGTGTAAAATTTAATGTTCAATAACTATTGCATTTGTTCAGTTAATTAATTGTTTGCTCAGTATTAAAATTAAAGTTTCAGTAATTAATTCAGTTTGCTGTTTCAAAAATACATTTCCTCAGTAAAAGATAGTATTTTTCCAGTAACCACTTTTATTTTTTCGATGTATATTTTGATGTAAATAGAAGAACATTTGTCTGTATCGGCTGATGATGACGTCATTAGTTAAAAGATACTATGTTACATAGTTGCCCTCGATAATCGTATACGGATGTTGTCCTACTTATTGATATCATGTTTTATTGACCTACATTTATATTTATTATACAGGGATGACCCGACTACTCAAAGATTTGGGGGGGATGTAAAAAAAAACTTCTTTAATAATTGATAAATTTCATCTATTATTTCATGACCGTTCCATTTTTTTATTTTATCATACGTTAAATATTCTTGCGTGATCACGTTTAAAAAAATTAAAAATCTAAAAATTTCTAATTATTGGGGGAGGGGGGTTGTTACATCCCCGACCCCTCCCCCCCCCTCCCCCGACCAGTCTGGTCACGCCTGCTATTATAGCTGTTCGATATTTTAAGTTATGTATAGACTTGTGGTAGCTCACAGTTCTAAGAATTGTTTTTTTTTAAAGAACTTGTCTCAATTATGTGTTTTTTCATTTAGGCTCATTGTTGCCATTCAGCGACTTTACACAGTTTTTATTCTAGTTGTGAAAAAGAACTGATTAGTATATCCAGTTCATTACAAAAAGCTGATTTAAATATTCAGCTCTTTTCAAATGAACTGGTTACTGATACCAGTCATCGTTCTTCGTTGAAGAACTGTCACAGGTCTGGCTATATACGAAAATGAATATATTACATTCTTTCCTTGTTCTCAATTACATAATTACACAATTACACAATTACACAATGGAGAAGACGATTCGTGGCGTCGTTCCCTTTTTTTCTCTTTTGCCTATCCCTATACAAATAGCTCGTTTTTGTGGAACTCACATATATTTTCGAAGAAAATGGTGAGTGTAAGTTTATAAGCAAGATTTTTGCGGCTCCCCCCTCCCCATTACGGACATTAATTAGGTTAAAATTGTGCTAATTAGGAGCTTGACTAATTAGGCTGCTATTTCTTTCTTTTTCAATTACAGACTACACGAAAAAAGCAAGGTTTGCCCATTACAGACCATAGAAAACTAGTATCTGTCATTGTTAAATATATGAGCTAACAATTAATACTCGATTACAGACATAAGCGCAAATAGGCAATGATCTAATTATAGGTTTTGGAAATCAGGGTAGATTTTTCAGATGAATTATTTTAGTAAGCCGAAGGGATATATACGAGTTCCACATTTTAGCCCCAAAGGGGCTGCGCTAACAAGCTTTTTCAGTTTGAATACTAAAATTATATACATTTTTCAGCAGCATTAAACTTCAATTACCAGGATTCAATTATCTAGACAATCTTAAATAAAAAATTTAAAACTAAAAACTAGCGATCTTTTAGATATATTTATATATTCTGACTTATTTATGTTTGAAATCTTCAAAATATTGCATTATTCAGTGACTACAGAGACATTTATAGGAAGAATTTTTCCGCGTCGTATGAAAACTACAACATGGAATGAGAGAATCAAAGTACTGGCAATCTTAAATAGTATTGACCTTTGATGATTTTGTAACAACTGACATTCATTATCGATAGTGAAATTCAGAATAGTTGTGCAACATGATCATCCTTAGCATACAAGTGAGAATCCACCAACGGTACGTACTAGTTCAACTATGGGTGCATAGATATGTGTATGACGTCTGCAAATGAGTATTCTATGCAGTTAAATCACCTGTGTATCAGCTCCACTATCAGTAATTATTAAGAAGGTATCTAGAAGAAAAAGAGAATTGGCCAGCGCCATTAATATCTCCTCAACTTAAAATTTTGACTTGGAATAATTACATTTGTGGTAGCTAAGGTGCTGTGAAACCACGAGCGACCAAAAGTAATAGTTGCCATTAGCAAATGGTTCCAATCAGAGCTGGTTTCGCACGACTCGTTACCGTTAAGAATCGGTGACCGGTGAACCGGTGATACACCGTCACCGTTGCATCCCTACGTCTGTTATTGATGAAACTGCAAACTCTTTAGGGAATGGGTAACAGTTTTTCTTTAAACTAGATTCATTTTCAAACTCAGAAAAGAATGGATAGCGCTGCTTCATTAACCAAACTATTTTTCTACAGCTTAACAGTCATCAAATTACTCACATGCTCCATTGGAAATCATATGCTGCATCTTGAATCGATTAGAGTCCATACTACTATTCCAGCGACCACCGCCGACATCATTAACGACGTGCTGGATCCAGTAGCTCGCTTCAGGTAGATCCATGGGCTTTTCAGCTTGATATTGTTTCTCAATCTTTGGCAGATCATTGCGGATGACGATTGTGTGAAACCGTTCACTTGAAGCAGAGGCACTCATGATCGCGAATATTAGTGTAAGCTGCATGTGAAGAGAAAAAAAAAATGATGAAGGCAGGTTCAAATATCACTCACGTTCTTTTGCACACGAGACCAACTAGCAACTATGCAAAATCTAAAAAAAAAGGAAACAACAAAAATTGAATTAATTTAGAAAAACTTGAAACTTAGCGATAGGATACTTTTAAAAACTTTAAAAAGATAAAACTGATTTGAAAATTTTTTAACAGAAAGTAAGCCATAAAATGGAAATAAAAAACCAACAAAAAGTAAAAAGTGAATGAATCTTAAAAATCTAAAAAATTGATTAGTGCAAATCAAAAACATTGAAAATTGTTATAATTCATATTTTTTAAATCTAAAAGGTAAAAACAAGTTAAAAATAAAATATTGTAAAAGAAGGCTAATTTCAAAAAATGTTATCATCTCAGAAGAAAATTGGTAAAATAACACTTCAGTTCTTCTTCACCGACTGACTAATAGTTATTAGCCAATTCATTTTTTCTTCCTGCACATCTATGCATCACGCATGAAAACAAAATATCGCCCCGCCCCCCCCCCCCCCATGGGGATAACAATTTTAATGATATTGAGCTGATGTTTTGATAGCGGGCGTGCGATGGTTAATCTTGATCACCCGCACCATTACAACCTCAATTAATTATCATGTATTAAAGTTATAAATCGAACACTATCATCACCTTGGGACGACCATATCTCAACCAAATTCAGATATCTATTTTGGTGGAATCTTTCATTCACAAGCGCCATCTGGCAGCTATCTCGGGTAAAAAACTAGTGAGAGATCAATTTCAAATGACTGAGATATCATCTTCTCACTGGAAACTTCTTCTAATCATAAAGGGTCTGGATGTGGGTGTCGGCGTTTAATCTCTTATACACCCATACCCACGCCCACACCTCACACCCCGCACCGACACCCACACCCACACCCACACCCACACCCACACCCACACCCAAATTATATTCTATTAATTGAATTGTAACCCCATAGCCATACCCTGCTTTAGAAAATACGCTTTTACACTTTTTTGTTTCGAACATTTTTCTGCGGCTTCTTTTATTATCTTATTCGAGCAGTCTGCCATAATAACGGCCTTATCCAAACAACTGATAAACTACAATTTCACCGATTTCGAAGCTGGAACTTCCTGTAAATGTGGCTGATCCCCTTGCAGTGGTGTCCGCATACGTAGATCCAAAGTTAAAAGAGCCCTTCGCCTGATTGCTTCGATCGGGCACAAGAATATCATTCACATTATCGAATGTTGAACCTTAGCTTGCATAAGCATATAGCGCATATGGTTCATAGCCATTCCTGAGTAAGTAGCGAGTCGGTGGAATACAATGCGGGTTTTTTAATGTGAAGATAAAGGCTTTTGGATCCTTTATACAGGAGTTTCAAGAGCTCCATGCCATATGTGCATAACCGCCGAAAATGTAGCCGTCCTTTGATTTTATTAAAGTCATTGTTTCAGTTGTTAGAATAATCTTCGTTCATCTCTTATGATCGAAACATTCGATTTTCGAGGAAGAGGAATCGATCTTACAACATACAGGTGCCATTCGTCCCATTATATATTAGTTGAAGTGTAGAAAAGTAATTCTCACTCATATTTCCTCCTCAACATGAACTAAAGCTTTTCAGTTTCCTAACCCTTCTGTCTATTAACAGTTTAACTCTAGTGAAATTCATTTATTTTTATTTTCCTTCTATTGCATTTTTTGTGAAACACGATCTGAAAGGAGTGTTGAAATGTATAGGGTAGAAACTTGGACCCCCGCAGACCGTTACAGAGAAATTAATTAATTTCTCTGTAACGGTCTGTGAAACCTCTCTGTCACGGCATGTAGTGGTCTCTGAATTCTCTACCACTATTTGCGATGGTCTCTACCGACTTCATAGATAATAATACAGACCGTGACAGAGAAGCTGCATAGATCATCACAGATCATGACCGAAAGGCTCCATGTATGATTACAGACAGTGATGGAAAAGCTGAAAAGACTCGCAGATCGTGGTAGATGATTCCCAGCAAAGAAATTTCATCGTGTTTTACATTTTAACCCCGTACGGATTGGGCTAACAGCTTTTCCTTGTTGTCGAGCAGTTTACACGACATTTTATGGCATTTAATCTTCGATTTGTAAGCAACACCGGGTTAGATCATGTGTACAATTTGGTATTATTGAGGCGCGTTTGAATCATGAAAGTTCAACGTTGGAGTATTTATTTGCTTTCTCGATAATATCATGACTACTCACAGAAAGCAGTCAATGTGACCGAGAATTGGCAAATGGCCACCGATTTCATCAAATTTTCGCCGTAGATTCACATACGTCTTTAAACTAGATTATATTTCAAGAAAATTGGGGTATAGCACAGAAAATAAGGCCTCGTTCTCATCGAAAAGTTATAGACCAGTTTTTGGCTTTCTAGTGTATGTGAAGTCATTTGTTTTCATTCTATTCTTATAGAAATGTAATTGGGTAGCATCTATATCTTACATGAACCTTGAAGTTGTAGATTAAAACGTGAAATAACAGAACAAGGGAGAAGCTTAATAGAGTTGCCTTTTCAAGTGCTATTGTAGTTCGTACTAAAACTACTGGACAGATCTAAAGACAATTTCTAATTTAAACTCACCACAGCTAGGTGGAGAGACTGGACGACACGAGGCACCGTCAGGACATTTTACGCAATCGATTGATGCAATATGAGTGGTGTAAGTACCAGCTGGGCAGAGAGAACAACATGATTGCCTGGTACAATAAGTACATGTCCCTACAGGACAAGCCACTAGATATTGATCGGCAAATGGGCACATAAAATCTGCTAGACATGCTGTGCAGGACTCAAAAGCACTATGATTCGTATAATAGCCTGGAGCACACGGTTTACAGTCATGTTGACCAAGGATACTAAATGTACCCGGTGGACAAGGAGCCGGTGGAGAACTATTTTTGAAGTTTCGACACGAGAAACCTGCTCGACATAATCCATCAGAGAATCCAAACCCTTGAGATAAGCAATTAATGATCTGGATCGCGATGAATAACTGATTTTTCATCCTTCTTTATATTTTCTAGCTCAATTTTGCGTCTTTTATATACCGCCAATGATTGTTGGTTTGTTCTTAGACTAAGTTTAAGATATGCTATCAAAATTTGTAGGAAACTAATCCTAGTTAAAAAAATGAGTGTCTCTCAAGATAAGATGATAACAAGGATTATGGGCATGCCATCTCTCTTTGTAGATTTTCAGGGAACTAATAAAAATATTTAAGTTACGATTACATCGAAAGTGAAATGCCTCTCCTAATTAAATTCCTCTTCTTCGATAAAAGTATTATCTAAAGAATGGCTCTCTAGACTATGGATGTAAGCCGAGATAGCAATGCTTTACAAAATTGAAGACGCGATTATATGGGTAAGGGTGAGCGTAGATGAATTTATCTTCATGATTATGTAAGTGTGCTGAAATATTATCATAATTTAGCTATCCTTAATTTAAAAACACGTTCTGTTGAAAAAAGGAGTTGGTAAAATAGTTTCTTTGATTCCTTCTACAAATATTGTGCGCAAATGGCAGAAGGCTTAGTTTTAAAATTGTCGCTAACCTTTCCGGGCCTCTTGAGGGTGTGGGTGTGACTGTTATTGAGAAGAAAATACACCCACACCCATTTACCTTTTTTAAAAAATTTTGTTGTATCGCGTGGTGTGATTGGTCGAAGAAATAGAATAAATTGAATAATAAGAGTAAATTTCATTTCAAATACACTTTTACTATCTCAACACGTTTTGACCAATCAAAGCCAAGATTGCAGAAACTTGGGAACGTTTTTTAGTGAGAGTTTCTTTATAAATTTCTGTAAAGTGAATCTTGCATCTTTGTGAAAGAAGACTCTTCCGTTTCTAGAACGTCCCTTGTAGTAGAAACCTTGATTAAAATATGATTTTTGTTTCAAGGCACATCCTGAACAAACAAAGGGCACTGAAAAATCCGTTTTGAACTAAAGCTAACTTTCATTTGGATTATGTTTTCAATTCAGTTGATAGCTACTTAGTTTTTCCCATGATGTTGGCTTTGATTAGCAGAAACATATGAGTAGAGAAAATGAGAGGATGTATGAGAAGAATATTTTTGACATTGCTAAACTTATCTCTAACTTTGATATGGAATTATTTGTCATTTTGTTTGTTGAAATTGTGGCTAAACAGCTCACACATGCATCATAAACTGTTCGATCTCTTTCTGATATAACGAATAGTACAGATAATGGCTTTCGATGCCTCTCTAGCGATTGCTTGACAAGTGCAACCATCAGCGACGCGAATGCTGGGTTCTCAAAACCAAAGGCTGAAAATAGAAAAAACTCAATTGTTTCCTTTATTGTCTCTCACAGATTACAACATTTCTGTGAAATTAAATAGAAGCACTCACCAATACTCTGATAATTATTTTCATACGCACATGTCATCCACATTTTAACGAAAATTGTAAGCAAAAAATTTAATCCATCCATTTCATTTTCGTAATAGACGACTTTTTGACATTTCAGTAATCCAGGTGCAGTTTCTAGCCAGGATTTCTGAACTCCGGTGGATTCTCTATGATATTCTTCGTAAATGGCAGCTGTTAAAACAATATTTCGAAGTCTTCCGCTCTCTGAACAGATTGCCATTATATCAACCTTGAAATACGTAAATACAAGATAATGAGAAATTGACAAGTCGTTAGGTTTTGCGAATGCACGGTAAAAACTCACACGTAAAATGCATTCCTCTTGTCGTATTTAAAAGACTGCTCAATACGCGTTCAATGGTGTTAGAATTGAGATCTATGTGATTATGAAAACAAAAAAAGCGTCTCTAGTGCTGATCATAAGTCCCGCATCCGCCTGAAGTATATCAATATTACAAGCTAATGACTTCAAATTTTTTCCCGTGTATGTATAGTGAAAAACGCTGATCAACATCCGCCTTAACTTGTATTGCTCATTTCTCAGCGATAAAAGCACTTTGGAGTTCGACAAACTCATCATTAGAAAGCCTACGTCTTCAGCTTTAACTAGTGGTCAACGATATCAAAAACAATGGAAAACCTTTGTTGTAGCCATGATCTCCAAATGTAGTTGATATTAAAAATATTTAGGAATAACTCTGAACGATGATTTTATAAGGGTGTGGGTGTGGCGGTGAACGTGAATTTATAGTTACCATAACCCACGCCCAGCAACTAGAATTCTTTAGATAAATCTCGAGAAGCTTTTTCATGCCTACTAAAATTCGGGAACAATGCGAAAGTTTATCCACAAAACATGGACTAATGCTTGCACTCATGAAGGTGAATTTTCTTTCTAATGATTTAAATGAAGATTTTTCTGAAGTTATACCTTGAACAATGAACAATTAAAATGTTTATCATTAATTTTACGATAAATTACGTATACAATTTCTATAAGTATCGATCACTTGAAACAAATGAAAAATGCATATAAAATATCATTATAAATTATTGTCTCGACTTGACAAGTCTAAGAATAGCTACTGCTACGTAAACACAATGCTTTCTACGATTTTTATTAATGGTGAATTATATTATTGGGAATTCTTTCACAAGAATTTACAAAAAGAAACACATCATGAATCAGGTTCTTAGTACTATGGTGTATGCTTCTCCAATTTATATAAATCATCAATCGCTCTTGAATTTTCATGCAATAATATATCTTAATTTAAAATCTTGATCATTATTATTATTGGGTTGCTCTTTTTGTTTTGAAGTACGTTGATAATCACAAACACACATACTAAATTTATTCGACAGAATTTTGAAACATTTTCAATCTAACAACAACGTACCGTGTTAAACCCATTTGTTCAGTGTCAGCGATTGTTTGTGGTAATGTGCTATCCAATGTTTCTGGTAACATTTGAGCAAGAAAAGCTGCCATAAGTAATAAAATACTAGACAAAACCATTGGTAGAGGAATCCATAATTGGGCCTAAAATAAAAAAAAAACCATACGGTCATGAAATCATAATCATGATTACATACTAAAATATGAGTGCTTGTTATACCAGCAATTGCTCCAATTCCTATAAAAAAAATACTCGTCATTACAATATATAATTTTAATATAACATATTTACGTGCAACAATTGTATGAATACTCATTCCAGTATTTCTTATTTCTGTTGGAAATAATTCATTGGTATAAATATAGATAATAGTATAACTACTAAATGTAAACCACTGTAATATTATATTCATTAGAAAAATAAATGTCCTGTGCCCTATGCAAATACAGATTGATCATTCGATTGATAGTAAAAGTTAATTTACCTTCACTATTTTTTGAAATGTAATTTTGAACAGGAATCTCTAATAAAATAAGTATAGCAAAACAAAAAACAACAATTAAGTATGATCTTTTTCGTCCAACACGATTAAGTAAAAGATATAATACTATAACATATAGAATTGTCGCCCATGATGAAATTCGAAATGATGCTAAATATTATTAAAAAAAATAAATATCGAAAAAAATTATCAGTTCTACGTTGCAATTCTTACAATATAGACTACTTCCCAAGAAAATGGAGCTTGATGAAATTCCATAAAAAGCTAAATGTTGAACAAACCTGAACAAAATAGCATAATGAATATAAAAATTACACAATTCAAGTTATATTTACGCTTGAAACAATAAATTAATTGATATGTTGCGCATAATTTTGGATTTAAACAACGATCGAACACCGATGACAACTGGTTTATTCGTTGTATTCTTTTAAAAGAATAAAAAGTCTCAACCGTATCTTTTTTTTATTAATCTAATTCCAAATCAGAAGTTTTAAGTGTCGTTTTCCTTTTCTTCAATCATATCACAATCATAAGAATTTTAATAAATAAAATGTATTCTATATTTTAGTCTTATGCGAAATCTTTCAAGAAAAACTTTTATGAACTATTTACCCTTTCTTGTTCAGCTATTAATTCTTTAAATGATTCTTCGTTGAATGTTTTTTTATTTTTTTTAGCAATTTTTCGAAGTAATTCTCCTGCTTGTTTGTAATATCCTTTACTAATCATCCATCTTGGTGATTCTGGTAATACACTAATAATATTTACGTATAATGAAATAATTGAAGAAAAAGTTTATTCTACTTACAAATAAAAGAATGTAAATGGTATTGTAGCTATTGATAATGTGATTGTTAAGCGTCTCCATTCTTGAATAAAATAAGCAACAAATATAACGATCCCATCAACATTAAAGAAATATTGAGCAATAATTGCTGTTAAAAGTTTATATTTTGGACCAACTAACTCTGTTGCTAAATTTAAAAAAAAATTTAACCCATGAAAAAAAATTTCTTCTACCACTAAGAATTACCTAATACAAAGCCAGTAACCAAAATACCATGTATTGAGCAAGCAAAAACAAAACAACTTGTTAAATAAATTAAATAACTCGGCCAAAATCCAAAAATATCCTTTTGTGAAAAAATTGCACCAATAAATACCGTACAAGGAATTAATATTGTACATATACTCATGATAGGACGTCGGCCATATCTTTAGACAAGGAAAAAAGTTAATTATCAAATTACTACAATAGATGATATTCAAATTTTATTTGGTTTCGCAATGCGGCCCCAAACTTTGAATGTCAGTTATCATAATGTCGATAGTTTGAAAATCTATCATGTAAACTGACAAACCTCAACTATATTCATATAATTGTCTCCAAAACAATAGAATTTCGTATTGAAAATCGACAAATGGGTGAGGTCGATTCGATATCAAAATTTTTATTTCGTATGTTATCAAATAGTTTATAAGTTGACATCCTCGATACTATCACAACAGGTAGCATCAATCATTCAATGAGAATATCGTGGAATAAAACAAAAAAGTTAATCGGACGAGAATTGTCTCACTCAATGGGTATTGAGCAACTAAGGAAGTTCAGATATGTGTCGAACTTAATTAAGTTGATTGCACACTTAAGAGTATAACAGAAGATTTGAACACTATATAGATTCTAAAACTAATTGTATTTCAAAAAATTAATTAGAATACATTGTAATTCAAGTGCGACCGATATCCTACTATAAATATCTGAATGAAAAGCAGTGGACTGTTTTTCATAATACCATGAACAAGACAATAATCACCGTTACTATTATTTCTATTGAACTAAAACTGATGAGAATACGACTACGACACAAACTTTTTATATAATATAATATTTCATAAAAGAACTATCCGAAAAAAATCATTATTCTAATTTCCTGATATTGTCTATTTGTGATATGAAAATAGTGAAATACAATAAATCTATTCTTCATCGAGCGAAGTTTTTCATTTTCATTACGCTGTTAATTTTAGCAATTGGAAATATTCTATTGATGCTGGTGCTCCCTATTGTACAACGTGTCATGCTAAATATTCTTCAAAACCAAGCATTATTAGTCTTATTGATCGTTACGTTCTTACCATTAGTAGTAAGTCTACCAATAACAATAAATTTCTATTATTTTATATATGTTACCTTATCAACGTTCGTTCACTGTACTCGGCAAATATTCTTCAAGTATAGGTTTCACTTAATGAATGAGCTTCTTGTGGCTACTATTATTGTTACTAGACATACGCTCATATTCTAAGTAAATATATTAGGTAACTATTTCAAACATTCTTATACTGTATTATATTTCTTCAGCACTTCGTGTTATCTATCCACTTGCTTTCTATAGCCTGTTCGTTTTTTTTCCAATTGTTATTCTTGTCTAGAATAAAGTATTAAGTTGATTTGATATGATAGTAAACAATGTCTACGTAGCTTATCCCATTCGTCTTTCGATATAATCAGAGCTATTGCAATATTTTCTTGCTTTGAATTACAAGAAGACATACTTATCAGCCGTGATTCCAACAACAATCGCCCCAACCATATAACCAGCAAGATACACTATTGACACTATTAAACGAAATACAGTTCGATCACAAACCATTAACCACTAAAAAGAAAAGTCTTTTTTAATTTTTCTGCTATTATGATAAAGAAGAGACACTAACTTCTTCCACTAGTGTATGTCTCATATATGTTCGATCAAAAACATAATCTTTACATGGCTGCATATGTTCTATACTCGTCTTCGATATCGTTTTCATATAACATTGCTGACATTCTCTAACAGATATGTTCATCATTGCTTTACAATATGATGGATCAGGTTGAGTTCGATTGGAGAGAATTGGAATATTCTTATGATAAACAGAATCATTTTCATGTAATTTACATCGAAATGATGGTGTTGCAGGTGTCCATAACCGTGTACTAATCATAACTAAATTGAGAAAGAAAAAGCATTTATTCACAAACAGAATATTCAATGTAGTTACCATGCGGCAGCAAGAAAGTCAAACACATGCAAAAGAGTCTCAGCTTTTGATATCGACCAAAGCCATTAATTGTGAGTAAAAAATCATCGAATTTCATATTTTCTTGTCAAAGAAAACAATTAAATTAATATATCTACAATAGAAAGTTATAATGCCCAAAAAATCCAATAGCTTTATCCTTATTAGAGGCCGAAATCGAATCGAATCGATTCATTTTTTTTCACTTTCATTCGGTTATTCAGAATCATTTTCTTTGTTCTACCGTGTTATGGTCCAGGTCAGTTGAACAGCATAAGAAATGGCAAATAAAGCATGTCTATTGTTTCTCTTTCTTTCTGTCAACCGTGTATATTTATAGTCAGTCGACAGAGCGAAAAAATCATAGCGTTTTAACCTCTTGAGGACCGCTGTCTTCAGGCTGAAGACAAACAGAACGAAAGAATTTTTTTTTCGTTCTGTCCTATCGTTGAACATATGTTTAAAAAGCAGAAAATGGATAGAGGATCGTTCATTCAGTCGATGGTGATTATTGATTATTTTCTTCTAACTATGAAGAAAATATCAACTAAATTTAGTTCAATAACTATTCGATATTATGTTCCTATTTTTTAGATCATGTTATAGTTTATACTATATTTTACTATGAAATGCATCAAAACAGTCTGGATAACACAAAGCAGGTGTATCAGGACATGTCCGACAAAAATAGATAGTTTGTTTTCGAACTTGTTTCGAACGACATAATACACAACGTTTTTGAACATGACCCTGCCGATTTTCATTATAATCTGTCTTGCCTAAATTCAAAAATAAGAACACAGATTCATTAGAAACGTACTTCAAACTTACTCTTATTGAGCATCACTTTGTTCATCTCATGAGGAAGATATGCATCATCATCACTAGATCATAAATTTAATTTATTATTTGTATATTCATCAAAGTTGATTTATCACCTATATTCTTCACTCTCATACTTCAAACCAATGCCGTTCAATTGATCTTCAATCTCATCGACGTCTGAATCAGGCAGATTCAGCATAATTTTTTCCTCACCTTCACTATCGCTTTCATCATCAAAAACATTCTCCTTATCCATTTTGAATATAAGACGTTGTGAACATACAAAACTATTTTTTCTATGTCATAAGACTTGTTTTTTTTGAAACATTTTGTTTCTTTCGTATTATATAATACAGACATAATATCAAGACGACAGTACAAATCCATGCGACATAAATGATAAAATACAGAACATATATACAGCTGATTGAGAGTGACAGAACGCAAAAGAAAGTGATTTTTTAATTTTTCTCTAGCTTCGAATAGAACGCAAGAATTCTCGGTCTTCAAGAGGTTAAGGGGTCAAACAGACCGAAAAAAAAGAAAAAGAATTACCCAGGTCGCGCGTTACGACCGTATTCCTTGTCGTCATGCGTTCTGATGAGCATTTCATTCAATTAAAAAATTTTTTTTTGTGAAATTTCTTTCATTCTACAATTTACTGGCGAATTGAAATGAATCTTTAAAATAATGTTTTTGCCATCATTATTGAATCGTTTCGTTTTATGACCGAAAGAACGTCAGCATTCATGTATTTCGTTTTGGATAAACTTATTTATATCGAGCAATCTCTGCATATTACTAAAATCGATAAAAGTCTAATTAGCTCAACAATAAAATAAAACCCGAGAAAAGTAAATAGGAGATTTTCAAGTTAAGAGTTCAGAGATTATAAATAAAGCAAAAATCCTACTTGTAGTTCTTTTACTAAATGATTAAAAAGACATACCAGAAAATATTCGAAAAAATGCTTCAAATCATTGATATCAAGGGGGAAAAGCGGCTCATGATGTCATGATGGATTCTAGAATCCACCAGGATCCATTTTGATTAATGAGTTTATATCAATATTTTAAACAATTCTCAGTTGCTAAAGAGAACAACGAGACTCATATATGTCGGATCTATATGACTATGATCGTGTTTTGAAAAAATTACGCAAGTGACCATGCATTTTTTCATAGATCTAAATGGTTTATGTATCGTTTCTTGAATCTAAATGCTTAGAAAAAACTTACAGATTTTATTGTATACAAAAAGAGAAGAACCGAAGGATTCATTTTTCATATTATTCTATGGCTGAGAATGTGTTACAAGAGTCCTGAAAAAATTATTTAGCCTTTTTGTAATATAAACAATACTGTTGAAAAGAAGAATATTATTTTGGTTCTACCGATGATTTTGTCTGTATATTGATTAATTCTCTATATTAAATCGAAAAGTTCTAACAAGTACATAAATATGACTTGGTTTATAACGATCGATTCAAATATATGAACTGACAGCTATGTACAAGTTTTGTCTCAAATATAGTAGGGAGTGTTAGCTATAGCAATAATTGAAAAAAATACATGAATCATTGCTACTTACTACGTAGTCTGCCACTACTACATATGTCGTCATCAATATAAAGAGGACAAGAATCTTTCAACAGTGACGATTCACTGTGAGTAATATGAGGATTTAAAATAGAAATGATGAAATCATAAATGTTATTATGCAATAATGTATTTTTTAGATGAACAAAGTGTAAAAATTAAAGCAAAATAACCATTCGTTCAAAACCTGTACAGAGTGAGGAAAACCTAGCTACTAAAGATGGCATAAATGAGGGGTTTGATTTTTATGGATACAACGGTTGAGATTAACGATGAAGTCGATGATAACATGAAAAATCAACGGTGACAGCCGATAGGTTAGCTAGCATTACCACAGTCTCTTAACAGAAAGACGTCTACATAGTATAAAAAAAAACGGTTACTATCACAAGCTGTTGGCTCGTTCACTGAGCTTACCAGTCTTAACGATGACGCTTAACAGTGGATCCTCAGGGAGTTTCAGATTCCGTTCCCAGGAACCGGGAACATCAACTGGGAGCTTCCTTTCTTGGAGCGTTAAATTTTGTACGGATTCTCGTGCTTATTAATCCGATCTAGGTTCCTATATCTAAATATCAAATCGAAACTCAATCTGAGTTTTGAGTGCTCAGGAGCCCACTATGAGTTCCCGCTCATTGGAATTCGGTAACACATAGTGACTTGATACAAGCTGTAAGAATAAGTACGTGTAAATATCTCTGAATTGCCCAAAATGCATGAAAAAGAATTTTCAATTGGGTTTCTGTTCTTTGAGAACAGAATCTAATGAAAGGGGAATCCTGACACCGCTAGCTAGAATTTTATCGCCTCGAGTGTCAATATTTAAACGTTATAACACCCCCGCCCTCACATTTCAACTCATATTATGTAATCGGTAATAGAACTAACAATTTAAACTTATTTCCGTTAATTTTATTGTGTTTTTCTTAATGAATCACGTTGAACAGCTGTTCCTCAACGAGTATACATTTCATAGGCATGGATCAATTCCACATTTGCATGATTGTTGATGAGCGATTATAGTTAGAGTAAGATTTAGACTGCCCTAGTCGATCCTCCCACACGAAGAATCGCCTTAATTTTCATTTAGAATCATCAAGAAAAATAACGATCGACTTCGTTTTGCCATATAATTTTCAATTATTTTGTCAAAGTCTTTGTATGAGATATTTCATAAAGCATTTGAAAATTACTTTGATGATGCCATTCTGGCAGAGGGAAGGAGGAGATCTCTGGAAAATGACAAGTAACCGCAAAAGACAAAGAAGCTCCATAAGAAAATGAAATGTGATGACCTAATGTGTGAAAGATCCGTAATAAATTCATCAATCTATCTCATATTCTTATGAAAAAAAGATTCAAAGTTCACGTGTTTCATGTGATTTACAAGTTATATTTTAACTTTTCCTTTGACAGCAAAAGAGCTGCTGAATAATCTTGTACAGGATGTTAATGATTACGAGACTTAATGTTGCGAAGACGAATATCATGCTAAGAAGCTACAATAGAAAACCTTAAAACACAACTTTGTCTAACGGGATAAGTCATTATTTTCGACTAAAAAGAACCAAGTGACAGCGATAAGGAGCAGATACTGATCTTCATATATCTTCAAACATCCACCAAGACCCATAAGAATCACTGGAATCCAGTAGAATCCACAGAATCCACCAGGATCCATGAGGAGCCGTCAGAATTCAAGGATCCAGGAGCCGCTTTTCCCCCTTGCATCTGCTACTATGGATTCAACACTCAAAAACAACGATGTTGAAGTGAAAACCACAACTCAAAATTCAGAGAAGTCACAACATAATATGTTCAACTCGAATCAATCGATGCAAGTATTGTCAATCGATGTTGGATGTGTAGCGACAGGATATTCTCATCTAGATCGAGCGCCATGTAGTGTGGCCATTGTCAACGATCGACGTGAGATCCTCTTCGATTCATTGATCAAACCAGATAAACATGTTGTCAGCGATCTGTTTCCTTTCAGTGGTGTGCATAAAGTAGATCTTCGCCGTGCTCCATCTTTCGATGAAGTGATCAAAAAAGTAATTAATATAAGGTAGCGAAAATGCAGAATTTCCGTAAATTTTCTTTTTCTTTTATTTATATATGGTTGGATAGAGCTTGAAACGCTGATCACGAATATATATTTTTTATNAATCAAATCGAAATAAAAAATATATATTCGTGATCAGCGTTTCAAGCTCTATCCAACCATATATAAATAAAAGAAAAAGAAAATTTACGGAAATTCTGCATTTTCGCTACCTTACGTAAGTTGAATAGTTGTGTTCTTTTATCTATTATTCAGTTAAACTCGTATGACCCTTCAGATGGTTAGTCTAGTGCATTGCTTTGAAAAAGTACATATATATATTCTACTGATAATATTCTACAAAAGATCCAGATTTCTAGAAAATCTTGTAGCAATGAGACGAAGGCAGTTAACGTTCATATTCTGTAAGTGCATTCATTTTTTACACCAACAACTTTGATTGTTGGGCAATCGATTATGAGTGATATCAATTGGATGAAACTTGAGGAAGGTGTACATTGCAATGCTCTGATTGGTCTGGGTGGCGAATTTACGACCTTTGATCCCAAATATAGCAATAATAAGTGAGTAATAAAATACATTTCGAAGCATTTCGCTGCATAGACTGAGCTCCCTCTTCAAAGGTACTTTTCTCTAGCTCATGAAGCATATATGCGCCGTTAAAAATCGATCTTAGTGCCATGGGAGGCCATGTCGCTCGAAATTATGCCAACGCAAGTATAAAACTGTATAATGAATATATAGAGGTAAAATAGAATCGTAGTAACTTTGATCCAGTTTATTTTTGTGATTTTCTTTCAAAGCGATAAAGGCCAGTCGAAGCTTGAACAAGCACATCGGGCACTTCTTCGTGCACCAACGAAAATTCTACCTTTCGGACGTTTCAATGGTGTCTATGAGAAGGTCTGTTTGTCTGCGTTTAATCGGGGATACTGTCGCTGCGGTCAATCATTGGTTAATGAACTACACAAACGACCTAAGTAAAAACGGCGCCAGAATTCAAATGATCAAAATGAGGAATTATCTCCATCAGTGAATAAGAAAATAAGAGTCATCGACGAGAAAAACGAGAGTTGACATATTGATTGAAATATGATGCCATAACTTTATAAATCTTAATTCATATTTGATTAATAAACTTATTATTATTTATCTTTCGAGGGTGTGAGTGTGAATATGGTTATATTTTGTTCCACACACCAAAGCCACACCCACATCCACACACTAATATAGTTGTATTGCTTTTTAAATTTAAGATTTCCTAGCAAGGTCGTTATTAAGAATAGATCTTCGAAAATAACATGTCTAATTTTATTGATATTGATGAACTGAAGATTGTTGAAAAGAACTTCTAACTCAATCGGTCAGATTTTAGTGAAGACTATCACGTCAACGAAAATCATCGTATTTGTTTCATGATATGTATTGGCAATCTTATTTATTGTCTTCGTTACAGACAAAGTAATAGTGTTTCTTATTCATCTTGTAGTGGTCAGGAATCTTTTAGGAATACTCTTTGTTGACTATGTGGATGTTTAATGGGATGCGTATTTCAAAATTCATTCGTGCATAACGGACTGAGATAGAAGTGAGCATGATTAAGAGGGAAAATGTGACTTTTTTCTTTTGTTAATCCGAATTATGTTCGAAAAAAAAACAAGATCAAGTTTGAAAATAACAACATCCATCAATCATTTTTCCAAGCAAAAAGTCGCCTTTCTGGTAAAGAAAAGGCCGTATTTTAAGTCAATAATTACGACAAGAATTGGCGCAGAATAGTTCTCAGGGGAGTTTATCCAAGGACCAACCTATATATGTCATTAGCATCTCACCGTCAGAAATCTTGAGTTGAGAGAAAAACGACATCCGAATGGAAAAATAAATAGTCATCTATTTCTAGATTTAAATGTTTATCTTACTACAAGTATATCTAAATTCATCGTAGGGTGTGGGTATGAATAAAATGAAAAGATCCACACACCACCAATTTGTTTGCATTTGCGTGATAGCAATGGAGGTTTTTTGTGGAAACTCTTGCACACAATATTAAAAGCATATTATTCATAATACAGATGTATATGAATATGGGGGAAATGCTTGTGACATGAGTAATCATTTCGAAAACATACGAGAATTCGCATTTAATTTATGCTAACTGAATGAAACTTTCAAAGGCTGTAGAGCGTACAATTTTAAGGGCAGCTACAGGTATAAAAATTTCTAAAAAGCCTCCCAAAGGGTTTCAAATATAAAAGCGATTTTGAGTTTCTTAGCAAAAACCTGATTTCTTCAATTACTGCAATTCAAATCATAGAAAACTGAAACTCTCAGAGTAGATACACCCTCTTATTGTAAATGATGACGTGCACAAGATCGATACATTCATTTGTCTGGGTGTGGGTTCAGGTAATGCAAGGAAAGACAGTATAGCCACACACCCTCGAGCAAGCAAAGATCACTAATTATTGCATGACGAATCACAAATAAAAAAAAACAATTAGAAGCAGCGTGATAGCGATTAAGGACAAGTTTGTTAGCAACGAGAATGTATGTAGCGAATCCCGGGGTCTCGTAAAAAATTGTTTGTTTCAAGCGTCAATTAGATCATTGATTTCCTGTTGATTATAATCGATTGTGTTCACTGCTTTAATAAAGCCACCAAATTGTAGTTGAAATTTACTTTCCGGATCAACTAAAGAAAAAATTGTTCCAATATTTCTGGTTATGACACGTAATGGACAAAAGAAGTGCTCTTGTTAGAATAGACAACTTGTTTTGGTTGTTTTATTAGACTCAAATGAAAAAGCTATATATACTCACATTCCTTGTACAATCGGTCCAATTGTTCATACATATCAATAATACCATTTGAATTATTCGATAAAAGAATTTTGAATAATTTTTTGTAGTACGCTACTGCCTTTTGGTTCTCATTTTTTTCTTCAAACTTTCGTCCATGGGCTAACAATCTCTCTGGATCGCAGAGTGTACCAGCAAACGGTTGAGAAAGTTCGGTTAGAGTTTCCCTTAATTTTTCTTTTGTAATTAAGTGAAGTTTAACAGAAGAAAAACTGGATTCCGATTTTTCAACAGACTGAACAAGAAAGGGACTATGCCAAGAGAATAATGTTTCCCGGATGTCTCCTGTAGCAGAAGACTCTGATATGTTAGCAAACGGCATGGCAGTGTCTCTGTTAGAATCCACATTCACAATTTCAACCAATATATCGTTTTTAGTGTCTGTATCATGAGGAAATTCTGCAGCACATTCTACAGCCGATACGGAAAGAAATGAATTGAATGAAATGAGACCACCAACATTTCTGCTGAAATCGTCAAAGCCACAATGCAATGGCGTGTTAAAGTAACGACAACATTTTTCTTTATTGCTACGTCTAGCTTGACTTTGGCCGCGGTATAACACTGCCAAGTGACGGTGAAGATCAGTAATATTAAAACGTAAATCGAATATGGCGTCAACATTTCTTGTCTGAAGTGCCTGATTAAGCAATGTATACATAAAAGAGGACGTTTATAGTACCTGATAGCATCAGTTGGATTATAGGGTTGTTGAAAACTAATAAGTTCTCGTTTTGCTGTTACATTGTTGGAGTGTAATTTTATAAATTTGGACATCGTTTCATCAATTTCCCGTTTAGATGGATAAGCCAAATTCAGAATCGCACTGGCCATGAGTTGATTCCAAAGAAAGAACATTTTTCCTTTACTAACGGAGTCTGGATGATACGTGTTAATTGTGATAGCATTTATTTCCGATCGTAAAGATTCAGTTGATGATGACACAGAATTGCAGCATCCAGTTGCTAATAGATTCTCTTTTAAATCACCAAACACGGCAGTGATATCATCATCATTATCAGTTTCCTCGTCGATTGTGTAAGCAGCATCAACTTTTGGCAATTCATAACTCAAATAGTGAGAGACAGTTTTATAATCAATAGATCGGCATCTAATTAGAAACAATTTTTCAAAAATTAGTTGTTTCACTTTCTTTACAGCGCGGTTCGGATTTGAATAAGTCTTATATGGTAAGCTGCACTGTTTTAGTTCATGTTTAATTAATGGTAAACGTAAATAAGCTTTGGGATGAGTTACGACAATTAAATTGTTACCATTTATTGATGTATGGATACGAATAACATCTTCTGAAGCTGACATTATCTTCTAGGACCAGAGAATATGACCTAAAACAAGAGTGAAATGAGTTAAAGTAAACATTGCATTTATCTATCGTGAATATTTTGTCGCATTCCGTGAAACCTGCAAATGAATATCGGTTGGATCTTTTACTAGAAGAAATTCCAATCGTTATAAGAGGATTTGCAGCCAAAAATGGCTGTTAGAACAATGTGTCCGGGATCCGTAAACCATGATGGACATTCTCTTGACCTTATCATAGACATGATCAGAGTCTGTCAAGTCTGTGTGGCAGAGTGGAATTCAACTTTCTCGCTGTATACTTCAACATTTATTATCTATCGTGTTTCAAAAACCATTGCAGCGTCGTCAGCGCGGAAGTAAAAATCCAATGAAAAAGAAAATGTAAAACTTCTTTTTTTTAAAGGTGAATGTTATTTTTTCTCCAACATATAAATAGTAACAATTTTTTTGTTCTGTGACATGATTGAAAAGAAAAAGAAAAAAATTATTGTAAATGCCTGGCACACTGTGGAAATGCTATTCAAATAATGTTGGTTTTTCCAAACTGAAGTACTAATTACAAAATAACTCTAAAAAAAATTCCAATCTATTCATTATGTTCTTATGTCATGCGGTTATGATGTTTATAATTATTTGAATCATCGATGTGAATCACCATTTTAAAAAGAACTCATTTCAGCTCACGGGTACAGCACACGAGAGACGTATACATGGTACCTCTGAATTTGTTCCCATAAACCAGAACAAAAATCTCGAGGGTGTGAGTGTGGGTCGGTGGATGTGAATTAAGTGTTATTACTGTTCTCTTGATGAACGCCCACACCCACACCCTCACGTTTTTTGAATCATTCTCTGTTCTTGATTGGTGGGTATGAATTTGAGAAGTGCCCACACGCATGCCTTTCATTTATAGCATATCCTGTTTGTCTATCGGTTATAAGTATCTTTGATCGGAAAAATAAGTGCAAGATAGAAACGTTCATAAACAATTTTGAGAAAAGGAATCTTTTTATTTTATATATGAATGCAAGAAAACTAATATACTGGTAAAAATTGTTGAAACGATTCTAAAATACGATTCTGTTCAGTGAAATATCCATGTAAGCTCGCTGGTTACAGCACACTAGTTGCTAATTCCAATCGCCACACCTTCTCTTGTGCCAGAATTATCACTAGATTGCCAACTATAGCAAAATTACTAATAACTCCACTTTGACATAAATCTCGGCCAAGTATTACACCTAACAATGTTCCATGATGATCTCGCACATTGATTCCATCTCCTTCGCCTGTCCATACTCGCCCCATCT